TGTCTGTGTGAGGTCATCAGAGCCCCTGAAACTGAAGTTATAGAGGCTGTAAGCTACCATGTTGCTGGAAACTGAACCTGGGTCCTCTGGAAGAGCAGCCAGTGCTCTTAACTGCTGAGTCACCTCTCCAGTCCAATAAACAAAAAAATTTTTTTAAAAGTTTTGATAAAAGGAAGAGAGGAAGAAAGAAAGAAAGGAAGGAAGGAAGGAAGGAAGGAAGGAAGGAAGGAAGAAAGAAAGAAAAAGAAACAGAGAATCCTGAATTAGTATGGCTGCCATGCCATGCTTGGTAAACTTCTCTGTACACATGTCCACAGTGGGAATCTCCTCTTTGGGGGATTAAAGTTATTAGATGTCCCTATGGGTCAGATACTATGCTACACACTGAGGTAAAACAACTTACAAAAGGAATGAAATCTTTGCTCTAATGGGGCTAGGATTCGAGGAGTCAGAGAGGATCAGACAAAAAAGATGAAATACACACAGCACACACTACATTTCATGAATCCTGCAATGAACATTTTCTCCGCTTATAGAGGCTAAGCTCATGTCCTTCTTTTGGCAGGCTGCACCTTACAGGAGTGACAGAGAAAGCATAAGCCTAACAGAGGGAGGCAGTAGAGCCCAGGGTGACATCTGAGCAAACTTAAAGAGGGCAAGGGGGTGACACACGCCTCTAGGCGAATGAAGAAGCCAGCTTCCGAAAAAGGAAAAATAGAGCTACAAAATCAAAGTCAGATTATGGAGGACCATGTGGACAGCTGGTCACTGTGTTGACTCCAGAGGGACAGCGTAAAAGCACACAGGCGTTCAAGCTTTGGAGCCAGATGTCAGCTCCTGCATCTCTGCCAATTCTACAGGACACCGCTGGTCAAATTAGCATCTCTGCCAAGCCCCAGCAGGACACCACTGGTCAAGGCCGATGCTCTTATTTTTCCATCTCTAAAGCAGAGCTAACAACACTATCTGTCATCAGGTGGCTGCCGTGAAGACTGAGCCAATTATTACTGGGTCTACATCTGTAATTCCAGCACTGGGGGGATGTGGACTCAAGACTAACCTGAGTTACACAGAGTGAAACCCTACCTCAGAAAACACAACAAAACATTCAAACAAACAAAATACAAATTAAACAATTTTATCATTATTATTACAGTACTGAGGGATGAATCCAGAGCCACACAAATGCTAAGCAAGTTTTCTGTCTATGTAGGAAAATCTGCTTGTTTGTTTGTGGGATTTTTTTTTCCTGTTAGGGTACCACTTAACATGCTTTGTACCCTGAATTTCTGATCTCCCTAACCCCCAGCTCCACCTTCACCGCCTCAAGGTGATGTGGTCATAGGGATAAAGCATGCTCGACAGTGCTGTATAACTTGAGCTACACTTGCCTAAGCTGGGCTTCCAGCTCTAAGCATGCTTCAAACACCAAGCTACAGCGACAGCCAGGAGGATCCTTTTTTCAGGGGAGGGGGTCTCTGTTTAACAGCCCTGGCTGTCCTGGAACTCACTCTGTAGACTAGGCTGGCCTGGAACTCACAGAGATCCGCCGGCAAGGATTAAAGGCATATGCCAACACCTGGTAGGAGGATTCTTTTATGCAAAGCCCTTTGAACAGAGCCTAGCAAATAAAGGGTACAAGTACTTGACACTGTTATTGGTTAATTGTGAACTTGGCTGTTGCTTCATTACCAATTTATACTTTGTCGTATGTGGCTTGGTTAACTGGACAGTAACGAATATTAACGATGTGTTGAGACACTGCTTTTTCAAAGTTCCAAAGGGCTTTAAAATCCTGAACGTGATGTGTTTCAAACACAGTTGATCACTTCTACTCAGTCTCTAAGTCAGTGGTTCTCAACCTGTGGGCGGTGACCCCTTTGGGGGTCGAATGACCCTTTTGCTTTTTGTGGGGGTTGCATATCAGACGGATCTCCTGCATATCACTCATTTACATTACAATTCATAAAAGCAGCAAAATTGTAGTCATGAAGTAGCAACAAAAGTAATTTTATGGTTGGGAGTCACCACCACATGAAGAACTGTATTAAAGGGCCACGGCATTAGGAAGGTCGAAAAACACCATTTGAAGGCATAGGCAGCCTTCCCCCATCTGCCCCTCCAAGCTATATAACAATCTTGTTCAACGATGTTTCATTGTTTTTGCTGAGTTTCCGCCTTTCCACCCAAAGTAGAAAAAGGATAAGCAAGCTCAACCACTGAAGTAATTGGTTTTTAACAACAACAACAACAACAAAAATGGATTTCAAAATAATGAATTTTAGTAGATGCTCTTGGTCAGGTTTGGTTTAGGAAATGGAAAATTAGCCTCATCCACTCAAAGTTTTAGACTGCAGAAATTTTACTGAAACACGCCATTCTCTTCCTGAATCCCAGAGTCAGGAGCATGTGAGGATAAGTCAGTCAGTCACAGCCCCTGTGTCTGCTCTTACTTTAGCACTGAACGAGTGGTTCTTAAGCAACTACCATGTTGGCGAATTCCGCCATATGACAAATACAAGAAGGAAGAAGTCACTGTCCCTGACTCTCTTCTAAAAGTACCAGCACCGCTGGATTAATACGGAACCTTCTTCGTAATGAGGAGGCCGCTTCACCGCTGCTCCCTGCTTCGGCTCCCTCAGATCCAACCTGGGGCATAAGTAACAGCTTACATCTTCTCGGCTGCCTCTTTAGACCCCAAGTAGTGAGCGGAACAGAAGTGAGACTGTGAGGCCAGGGAACACGGGAAGGTTTCCCTGCTTCACTTGTGCACCCAGCTGTCTGTCCTTCAGTCCTTCCTGCCCACAGTACCCCCTGCCCAAGGCACACTGCTAGGAAATAAATAGGTCAAATGAGGGGAGCCTTTAGGTTGTGACAACTATATCCACTGCAGTTTAAAACAAGGTATTTTAACAAGGCTTGTCCCTTAAAACAATTTTGTTAAAATATCGAGGACCTGTGTTCCGTTACCGAATAGCAGAAAGAGCTATCTCTAATCATATCAGCACCTCAGCCCTTTAAGGTAAGACAAAGTGAGGCTTGGGGAGGAGGCGAGGTCAGGCTCAGGGAAATTGGGAGACTGTTAGGTGAGGTTCTCTACAGGCCTTACTTGCTAACTGCTGAGAATTTAATGGTTACTTTTTTTAGGCTGCAACAAAATGCCTCCATGGAAAATGTCTAAGGCAAAATGTCAAGCAGAGGACAATACTCAGCACACAGTACTTCTGGCAGTGGTACCCTATGCCCTGTGTCCAGGCTTAAGACCTTGGACTAAAATGAACCCTCGCCATGGCCTTTGTGGTGCGTGTTCTGTAAGCCACAGGCAGAACAGACCTTCTCCCTTGGTATGCCAGTCACACGAAGTCATTCAACCATTTATTCACCTGTCCATCAAAATCACCCTGTATGATTGGTAAAGAAGAGTAAGCAGCTGATATACAAACGGTGTCACCAGGTCCTGCAAAGCCACTGCACATGGATATGCATCTTGATGTCAAGGTACTCTCTGCTGAGATGCTGGACTTGAGGCTTAAGGACCTAGCAGGGCTCTGCCTCACAAAGAAGCAAAGGGCACACTGAGGCAAGAGAAAAATGTCGAGTATGTGAAGGAGACAGGAGTTGTAATGCCAACAGGTCTGTTTGCCAGACTAAGGCGTTTGGATTTCACTATACAGACTGGGGAAGCACTGGGGAATTCTGAGAAGACAGCTGACATATTTCTTCTTGGGCTCACCCACGGGTGGACTGAGGGAAGCCAGGACTGAATGTAGACACACTAGTTAGGAAGCTACTGCTGGAACCTCAGAGTGAAATGAGAGTCTAAGAAACACCGACAAGCAGAGTATTCGAGGAGAGGAAGGATTTGAGAATTCGTCTCTACATAAAAATTATATACTCACATCGGATAGGTGAAGGTGGAAAGCAGTCCAGCTTCCTCCTTCTGGTTTAGGGAATTATTTGGGTAGAGGACCTACTGGGCATGCTAGGGCATGCGGTGAAAGTATACTGATTTTGATTTTTTTTTTTTGAGGGAGGCTGGGAAAGACGAGTTTAATCTTAAACGTTACATCTGAGACCTACGGGGAATTGAGACCAAGAGATGCCTGAGTCATTTGGCTCACTAGACCATCTTTCAGTGTCAAGACATTTACAGGACTATTCCAGAATCACGGGAGCCTCATCTGGAAAGAACAACTATACCGATTTGGAAAAATGACATTTTGCATGTTTAAAAAACACTGAAAATACAGGAATCGAGAGTTAATTAAAAAAAAAAAAACACCAACAACATCATGCTACTGGCTACCAAACTGACACTCCGGAACAATTTATCTCTAATTTCTTACTAGAGTGAGGTAAACGCAGGGTTCGATGGGGGTTCCCTCTCACACTTAAAAATGAGCGGAGTACCTGGTATTTAGATCTAGGAATTCCTTTTCGTGGGATTGAGGAGCAAAAATTTAGAAACGCGCCCTCCAGTGGTAGTGGAATGAGGGGTCTCTAGCACCCCCGTTACCACCAAACAAAGCCCTGTGAAGAAATGCAATTTACGAGGATCAAAAGGCCACAGTACTCCTGCCGCTTAACCAAAAGAACCAAACGAATCCTCCAGGGGCTCGGACCCGCCCTTACCTGTCACGCTGACCAAAGGATAATTTCACTTTCGACTCAACAAAATAAGCCCTCAGATCTGACAGCTTGCAGTCCGTCCCACTCGGCGACAAAACACCTAGCAGCTAAAGCGCGCAGTCTAATCAGATCCTCCCGAGCCGACTGGGCTGGGCTGCGACCACGTGGGTGACCGCGGCCAGCGACAGCAAGCAGCGCAGGGCGGAGGAGGGGGCGTGTCTGGCGAGGGGGGGGCGCCTGTGGGCGTGGTCTGCGGACCCGGGCTCCCTCCTCTCCCCTTTTGCCTTCGCCCTTCGAGCCGCCACGTAACGCCACGTCCCCGCGCATGCGCAGGGCGACTGGCGGCGGTGGTTGTTTCCGGGCTCCGGGGGCCGGAGCGGCTGCTGAGGAGGAGGCGGTGGTGGCGGAGGCCGGGGTGTTCGGAGCGCCGGCTCGGGGGGCTAGGCCCTTCGGGGGCGGGGGCGGCCGTGTTTTCTTTGGCTGAGGGGCTGGGGACGCCGGCGGCCGAGCGACGAGATGAATTTCCTCCGCGGGGTGATGGGGGGCCAGAGTGCCGGACCCCAGCACACAGAAGCCGAGACGGTGAGCGCAGCGCCCGGGGCCGGGCTAGGTCAGGGCTGGGCGAGAACGGGGCGTCCACGCAGCTCCCTTCGCCTTCCTTCCCCTGCTCGGTCACGCGAGCTCTCCACGCGGCGGGCCGCTCGGGCCGCGGTGACAGACCCGGTTCGGGGACCCGGTTCGCCGACGGACCGCGGCCCCTCCCTCCTTCCCTTTAACCTGTCGGCCGGCCTCGGTGCCGGCTGCTGCCCGGCTCTGGAGGGCTGGAAGGAGCTTAGATCCCAGCTGTTGGCCGAGGGCGTGTGGCTAAGAATAAAACGATATTCTTGGGGGCCCAAAGCCACCTGCTCCCGCCCCAGCGGCTGTACGGACCGACGTTTGCTTAGGGTTGGTGGTTCAGACTCCACTTTTGAGGTTCACCCAAATGTGTCATGTGGCAATACTTGTCTTGCACGCTGTAGTGTTCTGCGCTCTAGCTACTCTAGGGACTTTACTGCTCTCCTGGTGACACAATTTGTAATTTTTTTTTAAATTACTAAGACACGGAAAGCCAGTGCTTGGTTTTGTTTGGATACACTTACTGCAAAGTTTGCGTAGTCCATTGGAGAGTACTGTGAATGGCATTAAAAAAAGAAAGAAACTGACATAAGTTTAAATGACCGCGTGTGACATTTTAAAGACCAACTTTGGGTAGCTGTGATACCTTTGTTTGGGGGGTCCGGAAGGATCATAAAGTACCCTGGAAGATAGGATAGGGTCTTTACTAATGAAGAAAGAATTGAAGTAACTTGACCAGAGTCTTAGAGCCACAGTTCTGCTATGGTGAAAAGTAAGCCTTCTGTTAAGCCTAGACTTTGTTGCTGATCCCTGTGTTTCAGTTATTAACTGGCAATTTTGGAAATTTACATGATGTTAACCCCACGAGTTCTGTTAGTACTTCTTGGGGGAGATGGAGGAGCTGTGAGGATTGAATCCGGGGCCTTACCACATACAAGGCAAGCAAGCGTTCTGCCACCGAGCTAGACACAGCGCGGTTAGAACTGAGCTGAAAGCCAGCAGAGCTCTTTGCTGCATTTGAAAGTCAGATCTCCTCTTTCTTTTTCTCTCCTCCCCAATATTTGGCTTCCCTTGTCCCTTCCCACATGGCAACAAGACTGCTGTTAGTAGAAAACCAGGGACTCCTTAAGATTACCATAGTCACAGCCCATCTCTTTAGCCTTTCTATATTTTGTCTGAGACACACAAATTAAGAGCTTGCTTTAAAGTTAGACCTTGGTTTGAATCCAGGCTTCCACCCTTGATTGACCTGGACAGATGAGGGAAGGCTGACACTTTCTGAGTAAAATGGAGAAGTGCTGGCTCCTGGGGATATAATGAGTCTTGAATGAGAGCGAAAGTGTGGCCCTTAGGAGATGCTCAGGGAAGGGAAGGTTAGAGTGGGAATTCCCTTCGGCCTTGTCACAGGGACTCTTGGGAAAGGTGATTGAGAGTAGAGGAACGTAATGCTGGAAGGCTCCTGCTGGATCATATAGGTCAAGCTTCTTTATCTGACAGTCACCCCTGTGGAGCTGGGACTGAATGCTTCCGTGCAGTGCGTAGATGATCATTTCAGAATGATGCCCCAGCATCACCATGAGGACGTGTGAGCTGGAGAGAAAGCGACGAACCTTGTTACTGCTCAACTCCATGTGCACTCAAACTGGAAAAAATGTTTGCTTTCTAAGGAGAGTGAATTTACTGAGTTAAAGTGTGCTTAAAACTGGCCCTGATTCTATGAGGAAGTACAGCAAGGACCCATAGGTGACTAGTTCAGGATTTATAGAGCATCAGAGGAGTACACAGTGTAGTATTAGATGTTTTAATTGGAGATACTTGATTTGCCCTAGATGTTTGACTTGCAAAGGCTTTGAACTGCTTAACTTCTGTATCATCATCTACGTTATGTAGATTCTCCCATCTCTGTGAAATGGAGAATGGTTCTCCATCTTTCTTTTTCATAGCTTTTCCCAGTGGAAAACCTCTTTTATCTGAATTCTACTTTTTTTGTTCTTCAGATCTGTCATTAATTTTTTTTCTCTAGTGTGCACCCCTAACTTCTTTGTCCAAGAAACTGCAGATAATGTCTTTCATAACAGAACAACCATTGCTCTATAACTTGGTGAACGGGTCTTGTTCTTCCCACCATTGCTGTGCTCCCCAGCCCCTCCGTCGTCTTATCACGTATATTATCATCCTTCGCAGTGTGTTTTTTTGTTCAAGGGTCAGGTGTATTTCAGGTTTTTCCCCTAGTAATAAAAGCACTATAAATTTTTTTCCAGACTTCACTGACCTAAATCCCCAATTCCCCTCCATAAACATTTCTAATTAGTTGCTTAAAGTACTATTTCAAATAAACAACAGACATTAGAGTCAGCAACTTTAAAATGTTAGGTTTAAAGAAATAAATGACATTATTTTAGAGACCCCAGTTGTTTAATTGAAGTCTCTTGTATCAGACCTTTTTTTTTTTAAATTTATTTATTCTTTCACAATTTCACGCATATGCGGTGCCCTTTGATGACATCTCGGCCCTTATCCTTTCTTGTATCCCTGCTTTCCAGGGCACCCCTTCCCCAACAAGTCCCCTCCACGTCCATGATCGATAGATCACTTCTTAAGTATTTTTAATTTTTTGTTCATTTGTTTACTTACTTCTCTGTTCAGCCTACCTCATTTATTTATTTACTTTTTTTAAAAAGATTTATTTATTATGTATACAACATTCCTTCCATGTGTGCCTGCAGGCCAGAAGAGGGCACCAGTTCTCATACAGATGGCTGTGAGCCACCATGTGGTTGCTGGGAATTGAACTCAGGACCTCTGGAAGAGCAGCCAGTGCTCTTAACCTCTGAGCCATCTCTCCAGCCCCCCAGACCTTTTACTTAGAGAGTTTTCTAATATACTGCTTGCTGTTTTCCTGCCTATGCTTTTTTTCTTCCTTTTCTGTGGGATGTAGGGGAATGGGGGTGGGGTGGTTTGGGTGCTAGAAATTGAACCCTGCTGAGTGTCTTCTAAATGTGGAAGCGCTGGATTGCCGGTTGTACAGTGCCGTGCCGTGCCGTGCCTCAGCTGAGTGACTTTGGACTTGTTCTTCAGAACCAGCCAAGTAGTGAAGATCTGTGTTTGTATCACAGGATCATCAGCAAGTTTGTGGAATAGGGATATTTTTAGTCTCTAATTTTACACTCTGTATTTTAGAGTCTAGTACCTTTTAATATGCCCCCCCACCCTGCAAGGTAGAGAAAGTCACTATGTCTGATGACTGTAACCTCTTGTTCACACGTTCTTAGTTTTACGTCTTCTGTCAACTGGTACTCATTTTAAAAGGTAGTTTCTTGAAAATTCCATAAGAGATGTGAATATGTTTGATGATAAATCATTGGAATGCTTTCTGTTTTCAAGTTAGATCCTGAGCCATGAAAGTGACTGACAGTCGAAAGCTAAGAATTACTGCTCTGCGGCAGGTATCCCTTTGGGGGTTGATGATGAACTGACTCAAAGCAGGAAGACTAGCACGCTAGATGCAGGTGTACGTTCTTTTAATTAAATTCTTAAGTGACGAACGTGATCGTAAATTCAGTTTGGGTTTGGCCAGTAGCTCAGCAGTAAGTCACTTGCCATGCAAGCCTGACAGCCTTCAGTCTCCAGAACCCACAGAAAGGTGGGAGAAGAGAACCTGCTTGACAGAGTTGTCCTCTGACCTCTCTGCATGCACACCGTGGTGTGATCACACCCACGTCTCTCTCTATCTCTCTCTCCCACAATAAAGAAAAAGGTTTTAGTTTTCAGTTTTGGTTTGATGAGTGTGTGATTGGGCACATCATAGTGTTAGTGTAAGTGTATGCTCTGAGATTCCTCTTGGGGTTGCTGCTACATACTCTACGCTGGTAACTAGGTCGGTGCCTTAATTGGAATGTTTGCTCACTTGGCTTGACTTGTAATAATAATGTCAGAGACAAGAGAGTGATTTGCCTCTGATGACTTTTATGTCCAGGAAAAGTGTCTTTTTGACTTGTTTGTATTAAACGTCACTTCCCAAATTGAAGTTTAATAACAAATTTTTTAGGCTCCTTTAAACAAAAAGATTCACTTAAAATTTACATGCCCTAACATTACCAAGATGTGTTCCAGAGAATGTTATTTACAGCCTTTGTGATGTCCTAGAAAACAGAGTTTGTTACCAAAGATGTGTGTTGTCTGATGGTCACAAATGAAACAGGAAAACCCTCTTATATGGAGCTATAAAGGGTGCTGTTTTCACAGTTTTCTGTCTAGACCCTGTGTGTGCACACGTATCTGATTGTGGCTTCAGTAAGCTTCATGTATCTACTAGTATTCTAGGAAATGTACAAAGGGAAAATTGTTCTAGCAGGTCTGTACTGGGATCTAAGTATATAATATGCTTATTACATACTAGTTCCTGTTTTTCAAGAGTCTTCCATGATCTGCAGCTCTGTACCTAAAAGAATAAGTCCTGAAACCATATGATTTGGGGAGTAATTACACTCATCCTGAACTGGATTATCTCCTAGGGGAGAACACACCAGTTCATTTTTAGAGGCTTGTGTTTGTTTGCTTGTTTTTGAGACGGAGTCTCATTTTGTAACCTAAGCTGGCCTTGAACTTAGCATTCTGATGGAGGAGGATCATCTGTCTATGTGTTACTTTCATTGGTTAATAAAGGAACTGCCTTGGCTTTTGATAGGATAGCAGCTTAGATAGGCAGAGTAGACAGAACAGAATGCTGGAAGAAAGAAGCAGAGTCAGGTAGAGTCAGACACCATGAAGCTGTCAGGTCAGACATGCTGAATCTTTCCCGGTAAGCCACGACCTTGTGATGAGATATAGATTATTAGAAATGGGTTGAATCAGTATGTGAGAGTTAGCCAATAAGAGGCTGGAGGTAATGGGCCAGGCAGTGTTTTAAAAGAATACAGTTTCCGTGTAATTATTTCGGGTGTAAAGCTAGCAGTGCAGGAGCCGGG